CCCTGCCCTCCCCCTTTCCAGCTTGTCCCTCCTCCTTCCTGAGCTGTGAGCGCGGGGCCACGGCCTCCCTCTGCAGCGGGCTGTGGGGTCTGTGCCGGCTGCCCCACCCTCCTTCACTGGCACCCTGGGCTGTCCCAGCAAAGGCAGGCCACCCACTCTGGCCCTGGTAACAGAGCACTGGGGACGGTGGTCCCAGAGTGTGGCAGGAGGCAGCGCAGGGAGCACCCCAAGACTGCAATTCCGTTACCGGCCGGCAGTCAGCACCCCGGTTGCCAGGAAACGTTTTTTACCAATTGGGTAACAGAATGAACAGTAAACTGAGGCAGGGAGGAGACAAGTCTCACACACTAACTCAGCCGTCCTGAGCCTGGTCTGATAATATCGCCAGGTGTTCAAACATCATAAACCCCGTGTTTGAAGAAAGAAGGGACGTCCTTAAAATTCTGTGTAGCGTCTCCACTGTCTGGGAGAGAAGGCCTTGAAACTATGCTTTCATCCCAGGGCCTGGATGGGGAAGAGGGTCCCCGGTGCCCAAAGAAGGAGCCCATAAAACAACCTTGGTTAACTGCCTACCTCTGGTCACTATCTGTTTTCCGAGGGAGTCCCTGATGCTTACAGACAGAGCCCATAAATAACTTTGGAAAGTGCCCCAATTTTAATTAACTGCCCCCTGTCACGTATTTGTTTTACAACAAGATGAACAAGTGGAGTCTGGAGCAGAATAAGGATTTGGGCTGACAGACCCCCACACATCCCTAAGTCTGGGTAGTCACGTCCCCCCAGGAAAGGGGCCGCCGCATGTACCCGTTATTCAGTACGTAACTTTTTTCCCTCCTATCCCACCAACTATGTAGTCCTGAGAACAAAGGACTCTCTCTCTCTCTCTCTCTCTCTCTCTCTCGGGGGCTCGGGGGCTCTGGCTCTCGGGCCACAGGCTGCCTGGGGGCTGGCCACCCTGGTCTTCGGCTGCTCTTGCTTTGGCCGCCCTGCTTTGCCCTGAAACCTTGCTTTCACCCCTAGTCTTCCCAGTCCTGTTCTCTTCCCTGGGAACGGGCCACTAGTAAACTGATTACCTGCTACTGGATTTGCTGGTCGGTCATTCTTTACCTGCGTCAGCAAGAACCGGGCCTCTCGGGTCGACAAGAGGAGCCGATGGAGGGGGTGGGCTGGGCAGCAGGGCAGCAGGTGCAGTCGGTGGGGGCCACCCAGGCCCTGTGGCCCCAAGTCCTCAGCAGTCTCCTGGGCCAGCTTGTCTGAAACCTGCCCCTCCCGGGATCTGGGGTGACTTTCCTCAGGGGTTTTTTGGCAGGACTCCAGGTGACTCAGTGGGTCTGGGGGGGGGGGTTGCGAATTTTGACCTCAGACTAAAATGCCCAGGTTGGCAAGGGTTAAGGCTGCTCTGCCGCAGCTGTGCCTTCGTGGGAGAGCAAAACAGGACTCTGCCGCGGGCCTGCCACTGCCTCTCTAGCTGCTTTCTGGGCCGGCAGAGGGACCAGGAGCGGCGGTTCCTTCCAAAAACTCCTGACCACGGCTCCACGGCCCCATTGTAGCAGCGCTGTACCCTCTTCTCCATGGTCCCCACAGCGGTCACAGGGGAGCAAAGGGACAGGCTGGTCGGGCTTTTGGGTCCTACACACTGTCCGACCTGGAGGAGTCTCCAGCGTTTCTCACTTTGTGATCTGGAGTTTGGGGTCCGAGAATAAGCCCCGAGCTCTCCAGAAAGAAGTTGGGGGGCCCGGGGGTGGAGGAAGCATGGGGCTGGTGTCTCACAGTCCTGGACAGATGCCACCGTGCTGTGCTGTGCAGTGCTGTGGGGCTCTGAGCACCCACACGAGGTCCTTAGTGAGTGACTCACGCCCCCGGGTGTGAGTGAACCTGTCCAGGACGTCAGAACGCCCTGCACTGAACAGCGAGCTCTCAGCCGGCAACAGTGAGGCAGGATCAGCCGCCTCCCGAACCTTTGTTAGAAGCAGGACGGACCCCTCTCCTCCAGTTCCCAGGCCTACGCACAAGGCCATGGTCATCCATCCGGGGGAAACAGATCAACTGTCCTCCCAGTGGGACCAGGGCTGGTTCTGGGGTGAGGGCTGGGGGCTTCCTGTGACCCCAGGACCCTCATGGGGTCTGTGATCACAGCATACAGTGCTCCCCAAAAGTGTGCTGGGGAAGCGCCCCACGGAGACACCATCTGTTGGTGACAGTGTGGACCCAGGTGCCTGGGGCCTAGAGAGACCTGGAAGCAGGAACAGTGAGTCTGTGTCACCCCCACCCCCAGGTGTCCCGAGGGGACGGTGGTCCTGCAGCAGTGCAACTCCACGGCGGACACCCTGTGCGGCCCCCCTGGCCCAGGTGAGAGAGGGTCGCCCTTGTTCAGGTGTCTGTCTGTCTGTGGAGAAGAGAACCCGTAACCCGGGGAGAACCGTCTGACGGGGGGCTGGGGGAAAGCAGTGCAGCTCCGACTGGTTCCCTTCAGCCCTGGGTCCAGCAGCGCTCCCCTCCCCTCGGCCCCCGGCAAACCCGAGTTACTTTCTGGGACGGGTTCCCCCATTCAGGACGTGTCATGCCACGTCCACTGCCGCGTCCACTGTTGGATCCCTCTCTCCGTGACAAGGTCCTGAGAGGGGGTGTAAGACTTCAAGGAAGCAGTTTCCAACCTGGTGGACGTGGCATGGAAGGCCCTGCAATACCTATTGTGATTGCGCTTGCTTTGGGGATCATGACCCTTTTTGCTTTAATCATTATGAATACCCTGGCAGTGATTCAGATAGTGTGCCTGGACCTTTCCCGGCTCAATGAACAGAATAATAATATCATACTAGAAACGTCAGGGAATATAGGTACAAAGAAACAACCAGAACAATCTGAGAATTCAAGCTTAATCAATAACAGACCATTGGAAAAACACCCAAGATAGAAAACTCTAGGAAATCAGGAGATGATCTCACTGCTTTCTTAGAGGGAATCAAAGTACAAAACATGTCTATAAAAGAACTCCTAGAGAAACTTAAAAGAAGTACCCTTGAAAGCCCCCTGCAACATAGGAATAGCCCCTCCTTTGCCTTGAATAAGATATATATATCAACTAGACAGGCAAAGTAATAACAAAAGCTAGTTAGTTATTACAAACTAAACAGTTACTAGGGAGTCAGAATTTATGGTACACAGAAAAACATTTTAAGCAAAAAAAAAAGGTAGATAGCTAAGTTAGCCATCACAAGGGCCTTATAATAAATCTCCTATTTTCTCTACTCAATCTAGCGTATCCTTTTGCCCTATGACAAATTCTGAGAAACTTTAATATACAATAAGATACTTCTAATTGTCTGATTAATGGCTCTCCTAGTTAAAATAATCTTTGTTTTTTATAACTAAATCTATGGGAACTTTCGTACTTTTACTGATTACCTTCGTCTTGATTTTTCTGCTTAAATGATCATGTTATACTGCAAATGTTATTCACTACCTAAAATGAAAATATAAAAGCCTGCTTGTACTTGCAATCAACGGAACAGAGCTTCACTGTCCTTTGAGGCGTGTTGTCGTCTGTTACCCAGCGCCGACGCCTACCCTCACCTGTGGGACCCCTTGACCTGCTGCGGCCGGACCCTGGCAGTGTCACAGACACGGAATCCAATGACACGTGGCCTTGTGTGCCCAGCTTCTCTCGTTCAGGCTGGAATCCCCAGCCCCTGGGTCACAGTGAGACCTACCAGGGCCTCACCTCTCTGTGTGGCCGAGTGACACACAGATGTAGGTGTAGACAGACCCGTGTAGTGCTGTTCACTCTCCTGCTCATGGACTCCGGGACGTTTTTTAAACAAACAGACACTGAGCCCTGACAACTCTATGACAAGGACGGCTTCTCAGTAAGTGGTGTTGGGGACCCTGGACGTCCCCAGGCCCAGGAGGATTTGAGCCCTGAAGTCACAGCAGACACGGAAATGAACTCACAACGACCCAAAGGCCTCCCTGCAAGGTCTGAACTCGACCGACCCCTTGCAGGGGTCAGAGAGGACACCTCACGACACTGGGTGGTGTTTGGGGCCCACGTGACATGGGGTCCCCTGGGGGGTGTCTGTGTGAGTGCCTCACGGAGCCCCCGTCCCCCATGTGTGCACGGTGCTGCAATGACAGGGGTCCTCCTTCCTATGGTGACGGGTTCCAGTGCGTGTGGCTGTGTCTGTGTGCACATGCGTCCGCTATGAGCATCTCACTGAGGGGGTCCGTGTCTCCCCCTGTGAGCGGTGCTGCCGTGGACGCGGGGTGCAGGTGCCCCGACCCAGGGCTTTCCCGCCCTTCATGAGCGCACATGGGGTCGGTCTGGACGCGGCCCCCCGAGGCTGCTGGAACCCAGCTCGGCTTTCACCTGAGGGACAGGCTTTCTGTCTCTCCTGTGTTCAGAGAGCAGACACCGGCTCTGGTTGATCGGGGGTTTTCTCTGTTCCCCGTTTGCTTCGATCATCATCTGTCTCTGCAACAAGAAGGCAAAAAACCGATGATTCCAGTCCGTGGGCAGTGGGCTCCTGGAGGGTGCACGGTGGGAGGTGGAGCCACTGGAGGAGAGTGAGTGGGCAGGGCTGACGGCGGGCCAAGCGCTGTGTGCCAACAGGGCGGGGCCTCTGCCCAGTCTTCCGGGTTCTCCTGGCTGAGGCCCCTCCCCCACCAGGAGCCGTCCCGCTGGGGACCAACCCGGAATCCAGCGGTGCAGTGTCCTCTGGGCCCCACCCAGAGCCCTGGACTGGGGAGGGATGATCCGCCCCTCGGCCTTCTGAAGGGTGGGGCTTTTTTTATGTTTTCTTTTCCTCGCTTGGTGACATACTGGGAGACCATGTGCTCAGGGGAAGAGGCTGGATCCGAACAAACGCACTAATCGTGTTGTCCGCTAGGGGTGGTGTAGTGAGGTAGCAGCTCCCGTGCAGCCAGTCCGCTAGTCGGGGCTGCGGTTCCCGCCGCCATCCGCAGGCCGGGAGGACCCACCGGGCTTCTGCGTGAAAGTGAAACCACGAGCAGTCGCTGCGGTCTCTGCGCTTCCCTCTCCGGACTTTGCCGCCGCTCCTCGTCGTGGCGCAGGTGGGTGCGGGGCGCTCGCGGAGGACAGACCCCGACAGCGGGGCCGGTGTCCCCCGGGACTGGACAACAGCGGGGGCAAAGCGCACGGGGCGGGGGGTCCTTTGGAGGGCCAGGCGGGGGTGGGCAGGCGGAGATTCGCCGCGTTCCGTTCCGCACCCCGCACCCGTGCACTGGGGTCCGGACGGCTCGGGTTGGGGATTCTCCCAGCCCAGGGGCGGTGCGAATTCCCACTCCTGCCGAACCCCAGATTCTCTGCGGGAGAGAGCGGGGAGTGGGGGCACAAGGCCGGGATCCTTAGTGGCCCGGTTCCTAACACGCCGGTACCGGAACCGGCCCGGGGGGTGCGTGTCTTGGTGGAGGCCACGCTGGCGAGGGGCACCTGAGGTGGGGCCACGGTTTTCTGGGGAGATCGGAGATTGTCCACGTTCTGCAGGGGCCTCCGTGGAGCCTGGCGGGCGGACTTTCTGAATGTACAGAAAGTGTGAGGAAGTGGAGCGCTTTTCCTCTTTTTGACCACACCCGAGTGGGGTAGGTAGTAGCCTCGGCTGCAACTCCAGGGCGTGGTAGCCCAGTTGCCGGTGGGAGGAGCAGGAACTGTAGACTGAGCGTAGGTGTGCAGTTGCTGATGTTGCCAAAGCCAAAGCCAATGCTGCCACTTCCCGGGATGGGCGGAGATTTTCTCTTAGGAAGCCTGGTTTTTCATTTGGTAAAAATCAAATCGGGCGGTAAGGGGTGGACGCCCTTTTCTGGACGACCTGGGCTCCCCTGTGCCCTGGCCCGGAAGCTGCAGGGCGGCTCCCGGGGTGGGGGGGAGCGGTGGGCACAGGCTGGGGGTGCACACGCAGCACCCCTCTTCCCGGAGCTGCAGGATGTCGGGAAGAGCCCAGGGTGAGTCAGGTCCCCCATCCCTGGGACACGTGGAGCCGGGTTATCAGTCCAGAAGGTTCCAAGGAGGCAGGAGCTGAGGGTCAGTGCTGTGCTGTGGCACCTCCTCAAGCAGAGGTAGCAGGTACTAGGTGTGGTCTGTGCCCTGGGCCCCACCATCACCTCCGTGCGCCTCCCTTCACAGGCTCCTGTATTGACAGAGATTGCGACCTGGATGGACCGCGTCACCCAGTGCAGTTTGTGACGTGTGCAGGGAGGGTGAGTGGGCATCGTGGGGCATGGGTGTCATTTGGTTTCTGCAGCCCGCCCTCCAACGACCTTACTCCTAGGAATCATCCCAAGGGCAGGTGTCACAGGTGAACAGGGCGACACGGCGGCCAGGACGCCTGTCTCTGGGGATGAGAAGCATCTGTGGTGAAAGGGTCCACCTGAGGTCCCCAGGATTCAAGGCCACTGTTCAAGAGAGGGACGCACAAGTGTTCACCCCGCACCTCTGTGAGCCCTGCAGTCTGCGATTAGGCTCGTGTTCTGCCACCTTCCCACCCAGAGCTCCCTCCACTGTGGCAGTGATGGAGACCACAGTCCCCAGCACTGGGTGGGGGACTTAAATCTGAGCAGGGGCTCAGGCCAGTTAGAAAGGCAGCAGACTCCCGCCTGACATGTCTGCCTCAGTGCGGAATAAACTGCAAGGGATTAAAATAAATATATTTCAGGATTCCTTGTCCTTCTGAGAAGAAGGCCATCGGCGTTTTGACAGGCACAGCCTGAGTGTGCGCTTGGCTTCAGGCAGCAAGGACGGTGTGACAGTGTTGCTCCTGCCGACCCTGAGCTCGGCGTGTCCCCCATGGCGTGTCCCCCTTCATTTCCCTCCTCGGTTCTCACGGCCGTCAGGGTGCAGACTGTCCACCCTCTGGGCGCACTTGTCCCAGGTGCTTTCTGCTTTGTGATGCGGTTGCGGAAGGGGCTGGGCACACCTCCCCCGTGACCGTCACTGCTGTGTGGAAGCGCACGTGGTGTGCACTCCGTGTCCTGCAGCCTCACCGCCCTCATTTCCACGTCCTCGGCTGGTTTCCGTGGGTCCTCAGACGGTCCTACCCGCGGCATCCTGCCGTGTGTGAGCCGTGCGAGCGCTCGTCTCCCTCTCTGGTCTGTTTCCTTCGTCTCTGTCCTGCGTGGCCGCTGTTGCTGGGACTCCCGCTGCTCTGGCGCAGGGAGGAGGTGGGGTGGGAGCCTGTCCTCGCTCCTCACCTCAGAGAAGGGGCTTCCAGCTTCTCACCATGGGTGGTGTGTCACTGTGTGTTTCGGAATCACATTTTGTTAAAGATTTATTTATTTTTAGAGACGGAGAAAGGAAGGAGAAAGAGGAGAGAAACATCAATGTGTGGTTGCCTCTCACGCGCCCCCTACTGGGGACCTGGCCTGCAACCCAGGCAGTGTGCCCTGAGTAGGACTCAAACCACACATTGATTCTTTGGTTCCCAGGCCGGTGCTCAGTCCACTGAACTACACCAGCCAGGGCAGGAATTATGTTTTTAATAATGCGTGTTTATTCATAACTATAACATAACTGGATGCAATCTATACATTGTGCTCTTGTAGATTTTACTATAATGAACAGCATTGAATAGGAACCTTTGGGTGAATGCCATTTTTTCTTTAAGAGCAATTCCTGCCACTGTAACCTGTGGGGCTAAGGATAAACTCATTTTGGGCATTTGGTATACCAGGAGCGACTGAAATAAAAAAGAAAAACAAAAACAGCAGTTCCCTTATGGAGGGCGGGCCCCTTGTGGTCCAGGCTCCCCCACTGGGCGAGAGTCCCAGGAGCCCGTCTGCATCAGTGACCAGCTGGCGTTGTTGTGAGAGGCTGTGCTGGGCCTCAGTGAATTTTTTTGATGACTGTTCTAGAGCGTTGGCCCAGTTCACGACGGCCGATTTACCAGCCCACTTGCTCACCTGCGCTGAGTGTTCAGCAGGTTTTGACCCAAAACCCACACGCTCCACCCTCTCTCCCTATTCACCCAATCTCTGCTAGAACGACTAATTTTTCTTTCCCAGATGAAAAAAGTCCCCAAAGGGAAACATCCCGACATGTAAGACAAGAGACAAAACAGCAGAACCACTAAGAGGCGTCAGAGTCCCCGAGGCCACAGAGTGTTCAGGGAAGGGGAGGAAGGTCCCCAAGGGTGTCCCATATCCAGGGTAAAGACTGAAGGCTAAAGATGTGAGAATAAAAACGCAGTTTTTGTAAGTAAATTCTCTTTCTGGGTCGGCCCTGTGTACATGCAGCCAGACACATCCACAGGTGTCCACAGTCACATGAAACAAAGGATGTAATTACCATTGTGAGTCATTTAAGTTTCATTCATTAATGTTTTATGTTTTAATATGGTCTATGATAGAAATGAAAGACAAAAAATATCCTTCAAAATACGTGGAAATGTGTTCCCCACTCTGGAAACTTTCAGACTTTACACCATTCAGATCATTTAAAGCACAGGGTGCAAAGACCTGGGCTTCTGCCCTGGGTGACAGGGACCTCGTGGGAGGGGCTGAGCAGGAGGGAGGTGAGGGGGTGGGAGGCTCTGGCTGCTGTGCGGAGCTCGGCCTGCAGGGGGCAGCAGCGGGATCAGGGACTCAGAGCACAGGGCCTGCCTTCCTCAGAGGGTGGTCTGGGGGCAGGCACCTGGCTAGGGCAGGGAAGTGTGGGCAGGTGGAGGGCTTCTGAGCAGGTTGGCACAGGAGAGCTTGGTGCTCCCTGCTGGTGAGGAATAAGGTACGTCCATTACGGCTCCATGTTTCCTGGCTGACTTCCATGGTGGTATCCAAGGTGAAGAGACGCCCCAGGGGCCATTTGCAGAGGAGGCTCTGGGGTCCCCAGTGATGGTGGTGGTGCCCGGTGGGCCCTGGGGAGGCAGCCTCTCCATGTGGCATTCTCCTCCCCCTTCCAGGTGGTCACTGCTCCTCAGGCCCTGCTGGCCTCTCTCTGTGCACGGCAGGTCAGGATGGTGAGGTGCCTGGTCCCCCGTCTGCCTGCCCTCGCTGTCTGCCTCACCCTGGTCCAGCTGCTCAGCCCCTGCTCAGGTAGGACCTGCCCTGTGTCTGGGTGTGTGAATACCTTACCTTTGGGCCCAGTCAGAACCTGGGACCCCTCCCACCCCTGCATGGCATGTCCGCACTGCTCCTGTGTTAGGACCAAGTTCCCCTGTAGGTGTGTGTCACCTCCCCTCCCTTCCTGGGACATGCCCTGGCCCTGCTCACTCTGACAGAGCCCCCCCCTTCTGATGACCAGCTGACTTTGCTGTGGTTGGACCCCCTGAGCCCATCCTGGCCATGGTGGGTGGAGACGCTGACCTGCCCTGTTACCTGTCCCCGAAGAGGAGCGCTGAGAGCATGGAGCTGATGTGGCAGCTACCCAGCCGCAGGCAGGTGGTGCTCACGTACGCACACGGGCAGGAGGACACGCCGGCAGAGGAGTATCGAGGGAGAACTTCGGTTTTAAGAGAGGACGTCACTGCGGGGACGGCTGCTCTGCGGATTCGCAACGTCACAGCCTCAGACAACGGGACCTACGTGTGTTACTTCCAAGACGGAGATTTCTCTGCAAAGACCCAGGTGGAGCTGCAGGTGGCAGGTGAGCCTCAGGTTTGCTCTGGGCTCCTGTCTGTTCACGGGGGCAGAGGCTGCAAAGCTGCCCCAGAGCAGGTGGGGCTGCTCACCAGCAACCCCCCCCCATCTCCATCTCTGCTCCTCTGAGGCCGAAGACAGACCTAGGTGTCCCCTGGGGTGACTTCATCCTGCATCCAGTACAGAGTCCCCCGTGCCACCCACCAGTCTCAGCAGGGAAAGGAAGTAAGGGACAGAAAGGATGAGGACACCTCCTTGCAGTGGGAGGCACATGGGTGTTTGGGTTCAGTGTGACCCAGACCATGACCGAGGGTCCCCCAGGTGTTGGCTGCTGTGGGCGCAGGAGGCTCAGCTGCAGGGACCACACCAGTGGGGTCCACGTCCCCTGCCTAACCCCCGGGAACACATGTGCAGTTGATCAGGCTTGTGTCTGTCCTCGGTGCAGTGGGGGAGGACACTCACCTGGGGACAGGGACGCCGGGGTCTAACGCACAGACACTAGAGAACATTTTAATGCCCCAAAAAGCCGAAATTAGGGCCCAACCGGAGAGTGAGGCAAGTGGGCGGAGACCAGTGGCATCGTGTGGGGAGCCGTAGGTGTCCTGTCCCAGCGGGGGCTGCGTGTCGTGCTCCAATGAGCCTGCGCTGCCCCGTGTCCATGTCTCTTGCTCCCTGTTGGAGCTGTGATGTTACCAGGGGGAAAGCAGGTCCCCTGAGTGCTGCGCACTGGGTGTGGATGCTGCCCTGTCCCTTGGGCCGCCTTGGACAGGCTTTGCTCTGGGTGGGACGGCTGTCCTCTGGGACCCCAGGACCTTGGCCACCCCTCTGGGAAGACAGTCACCTCCTCGGGCCCCTGGGAGAGCAATGGGCCCTGGAGACAGGACGCTGTCCTCTGTCTGGTGGCACTGCCCTCGAGCAAGGGGACATGGTGACGAGCCTGTGGCACTCTCTGCCCCTTCCAGGGGACCTGCCCAGATCCCGCGCCGACTCCTCCAACATTTGGGCTGTGGCAGTGCCGGTGAGCATCATCCTTGTCACCATCGCCGTCGCCGTCACGGTCGTCTGCTGCAGGAGACCAGGTGAGGTGAAGCTGTCCCGCCACCACACCAGGGGCTTCTGCTGAGGACCTGGGCCCGGCTGTCGACCTGGTGTCTTCGCCGCAAACACGCCCGGGCTCACGTTCTAACACGGCCCCTGTGCTGGGCTGGTGCTCAGGGCGGGGAGCCGGGCGCTGCGTGTCCCCAACCGGGCGCAGGGCTGCACACGAGTCCCCGGGCAGCGGGTGCAGGCGGGGCCCTGGGGCAGGTGGGCACCCCACAGACACTCACACCCCTGTGTTCACAGGTGTGCAGCTTCCCCACGTGCTGGTCCATTGGTTGAAACGTGAGTCCATTTTATTTGTTATGATCTCCAGGCTTTGGCCTCACACGAGTCCTTGTCCAGGGAAGGTCAGTCATAGTCACGTGCCACATGACAGCAGGGACAGGCTGCGAGACAGGCGTCCTTGGGCGATTTTGTGTGGAGCAGACATCACAGGGAGCACGCACACCTGGAGGGTGGGCCCACCACACACCAGGGCTGGGGGTGCAGCCTGCTGCTCCGGACTGCCCACCCTGGGGGTTTCTCAGTGGCAGCTTTAGGCCATGAGGGCAGAGGGGACACCCAGGGTGGGCATGAGGCACCAGACCAGGCCCCGGGCCCCCAGCCCGGTGTGCACAGCTCAGCCTTTCGGATGGCGTCTGCTCCCCCCACTGGAGCCCGGAGCGGCTGTGCTGGGGAAGACCCCGCTCTGCAAGACCCTGCTCTGCTGGTCTAGACCACGGGGCGCACACAGGGCTGCACAGGGCACAGGGCTGGTATGGCTTCCCAGGGCTGCAGAAACATGCTCCCCAACTGGGGGTAAAAGACACGGAACTGACGGTCTCCCGGATGTGGAGGCTGGAAGTCTGATCCAGGTGTTCGGTGGGGGTGGGCGGAGGGCTGGCTTCCTCCGAGGCCCTGGGGCAGGTCCTACCCGTCTTGGCACTCACCTCGTCTCGGGTGGCCAGCTGTCCTGGGTGCCCCTTGGCGTGGGCACCCATCGGTCAGCACCGACCTCTTCCCTGTGGGTCTGTCTCCTGATGACCCTTGGTGGGCACTGAACGCAGGGCCCAGTCTCGTCCAGTACGGCTCCCTAGTCTGCAAAAGCCGCATTCCCAGGTCCCAGGGATCCGGGTGCAGACCTGTCTTGCTGGGTCCAACCACAGCCCCCCTGTGTGGGAAGCTCCTCGGAGTTGGGGGCGGAGCCTGCACCTGACCCCACGAAGTACTTTCCCTGCTGCCACACGGCCCCGGCCGACCTGTCACACGAGGTGGCATTTCCCGAGAAGTGTTTGGGCAGGGCCATGGTGCAGGCCCCTGCCACCAGAAGTCACAGCTTTGCTCTTCAGTCACAGGGAGGCACCCTGCCCACGGACTCAGAGCACGGCCAGCCAGCCGCCGGCGGGGACAACACACCACTGCTGGAACCCCAGGGCCCAGCCAGGGTGCCCTCTAAGGACCCTGAGGGAGGGGCGGAGCTGCAGGAGGTGGTGCTCACGGGAGGCGGGGCCTCCCCGGAGCAGGCGCTGCAGACCCCGGTTCCCTCGGCCCCCGGGGGCCCGGACCAGGCTGGGGCTGCAGCCCCCCTCCACGCCCTGGAGCAGGTGAGGGGCGTCTAGGTGGGCGTGAGGGCAGGGACGCCTGCGTGTGTGGAGCACAGGCCGTGTGCGTGCAGGGCGGGTGCACAATGCTACCCTGCGTTCCCTGACTACTTCTCCGAGCTTCCCCTGGTGACCACAAGACCGTGCCTGGCTGAGACTAACTGTGTCGTCCTTCTGTCGTGGGGCTGTGGTGAGGGCATGACACCTGAGTAGGACTTGAGAAGATGAGCAGACTTCCTATGTAGCCCCGGGGTGGAGGACCTTCCCGCGGGCAGGGGGCACTGCCCCAGAGGGGTGCAGAGCTTGCCTGGCACCCAGCACACACTGGGTGTCCCCGAACTGGAGAACTGCTTTCTCACGGGCCTTCCACGGACAGGTGTCCTCTCCCTTAGTAGTGTCCCCAGCCAGATAGGCCACCGCCAGGTGACATCCTTCTCCTGTTCCAGTCCCACCCTCCAGGGCAGGTAGCAGGAACCCCACTGTTTCCCCGGCCCAGGCAGTGTCCTGGGGGAGTGTGACCCAGGGGACAGGTGGGCTGTGAGCTCTGCTCCTTCTGAGAGGCCAGGCCACATGCCCAGACGCTGACAATGGACAGCTGCTCCCACCCGCCTGCCTCACCCACCCCAACTCCGGAGGCTCTGTTCCCGCGGGACCCCGTCAGGAAGCTGCCCCTGTGTCTCTTCCCGGAACAATTTTATTCCCTTCTCTTCACAGCAATACAAACAAAAGTACGTTTTGAAGGACGGGTCCCCTGAGGGTAAGTTGCCTGAAGTCTTCCTTTATAGTGACCGTTCAGGGATGAGGTCAAGACCCAGTGTCCTTCCTCCTGGGAAGCGGGACCCTGGGCCCGCAGGAAGCTCAGGGACGTCCTGTGGGCATCAGACTCTCGGCCCAACACTCACCACCTGCATCAGGGCAGACGCAGGTGGCCCCGAGTTACTGCTAATCCACGAGTTTGAGCAGGGATGTGGGTGTCCGGTGGGAAGGCCTGGGTGACCCTGGCCTGGTGAGTCCCGGGGGCTGCGGCGCTGCAGTCTGGGACAGGAGAGTGCAGGTCTCCTGCAGCTCAGGTGACGGGCCAGGTCCTGCTTATACTCTGGTCCTCTGAGAGCTTAGGGGGACCCGCCACGTGACATCCAAAGGTGGGGCAGTAGGGAGCCCAGCGAGGATACCGACCTCTCCCTGCTGCCCCCACAGCCCCTCTGGCCCCGCTGCACAGGAGGGGGCCACCTCAGAGGACACATCACCCCCGGGGCTTCCCCCCCTCTGGCCCCCAGGCCCTTCTGCCAGACTCACTGGTTCCATGTGAAAGAGCGTCGGGCCCGTCAGGAGCCCGGCCAGGTCACGTCCTACTGCGCTCTCCTGTCCCCGAGCCTGGTCCCTCCTGTGAGGGCAACCTGGGCGCCCATAGCTTCTCCCTGCCCTGGGTCCTGGTTGCCAGCTGGACGCTCACCGCACACAGCTCACGCCACACCTGCCTTCCAGGAACAAGGCCAAGTCTCCCTTCTTGCTTTTCCTTTTCAGCCACGAACAGGATCTACTTCGAATTCGGGCAGGAGGTTCCCAAAAGTCACTGGAGGATGTTCATGAGGTTGGCGGGGCTGGAGGAGAACGACATTGTCATTTGTGAGCACGAGAACCCGGGGAACCTGCCGGAGCAGCACCACAGGATGCTGCTGCGCTGGCAGAGCAAGCTGGGGCGGGCGGCGACCCCGTTCAGGCTCATGGCAGCCCTCTGTAAGATGCAACTGCGGGAATGTCTGGAAAATATTATAAACAAGCTGGCTGCGGAGGATATCTTAGGTAGTAAGGATGCAGAGCCCCCGAACTAGTCAGCCTTTTTAGCAACGGCTGTGACTTAGCGGCATCCTGGGGTCTGGCCTCCCCCAGGTCCCTTCCTGTGGGCGCCTTCACAGATCCCAGATGGGATGGAGCCCCTCCATGTCCAAGTAGCCTCTACGGGAAGCTTCTTCTGGGGGGCCCTTTGCCTGCGGCCCATATGGCCCACGGGCTGCCATCAGGGGACTCCAGGGGCCTGAGCTGCTCAGGGAGGACCCGCTGGGTGTACTCAGTGGGCCCACGAGCCGTGGCCTCCTCACGGACACAGGCCAGGAGGGCTGGCTGGTCATCTGTGTGACCCCAGTAGCTCACTCCTTGTTCTCCCAGGCACTGCGTTGTCTCTGGGCTTCTACTTGGGAGTGCCATACCTGGGTGACACTTATAAGTCAGTTCACAACAGACAAACCAGCGGCTACTCTAGCTGTCACTAGGTCAGCTGGGGTGGGGCATGGGGACAGTTATTGTCACATGCCAGCTATAGAAGCCTTTGTCCAGTTCTCTAAATGTTTAAGCATTCGTGATTTTTCTAGTTTTATTGAAGTGGTGAAACTTCTCTCCCATAGCATTTTTACATGTTTGTATAACTTTTTTCACCCAGTAAAATTTATATTCTAAATCATGTTTTCTGTCATTCTTGTTGTGGGGACAACTTTGGGTGTGTTGTCCTTGGAAAATGACATTGTGCACAGAGTGTCACAGGAACCTAGTGTGGTTTGTGGGTGCAGGGCCCCGGAATGGGGGCTGCCGATGTCAGGGGCCACCCTCCCCAAGCCTTCGTCAACCCACCTGTGCCCTGAACAGTGGCAGGGACGAGAGGGTGGACGGCAAGCACCTGGCGCACAGTCTGAGCGGAGTGGCAGCGAGGGGTGCACGGATCGTAACACAGTTGGAAAGGACACAGTCTGGCATCACTCACAGTGAGTCAGGGACTGCGCCCTTGTTGTACAGAAAGTCACTGCTGAACCAGGGAAGATGCCTGGGTGGGGGGCACTGAGGGGCAGTTTTCAGAGAGGCAGAGGGGTGTGTCACAGACACGGAGTCCAATGACAGGTGACCTTGTGTGGCCCAGTGACACTCAGACATAGGTGCAGACAAACATACGTGGTGGTGTTCACTCTCCTGCTCATGGACTCGGGGACATTTTTAGACACACAGACCCTGACCCCCAAGTGCTCTATGACAAGAACAGCTTCTTAGTATGTGCTTTTGGGGACCCTGGATGTCCCCAGGCCCTGGAGGTGTTGGGCCCTGATATCACAGCAGACACAGAAATGAACTCACAATGACCCAAAGGCCTTCCTGCAAGGTCTGAACATGACCAAACCCCTGGGGGGTCAGAGGGGACGTCTCACGATGTTGGGTGGTGATTGGGGCCCACGTGATATGGGGACACCTGGGGAGTTTGTCTCTGTGTGAGTGCCACACGGAACCCCGTCTCCCCATCTATCCACGGTGCTGCGATGGCAGGGGTCCTCCTTCCTGTGGTGACAGGTTCCAGTGCGTGCATCCGTGCACACACACAGCCGTTCTGTCCATCCGTCTGTGCATCTCACTGAGGGGGCCCCTGTCTCCCACTCGTGAGTGGCGCTGCGTGGACCTGGGGTGCAGATGCCCCCACTGAGGGCTTTCATGTCCTTCACTACAGCACCGGGTTCTGTCTGTCTGGACTCGGCCCCGCAGCTGCTGGAAAATACGGCAGCTTTTGACCTGACTGAGAAATGCTGTTTTTCCCAATTTCAGACAGCACACACCCACTTTCTTTATTCGGGAGCTTTATAATCCTGTCCGTGGTTTGTCTGGGCATCATCATCATCACTGCTTATATTAAGAAGGTAAAAGACGGAGGATTCCAGCCAGGGGGCAGCGGGCTCTCCAGCGGTGTGCGCCCTGAGCTGGAGTCACTGGAGGAGAGTGAGTGACAGCCCGGGCTGGGGGCGGGGCCGGGCGCTGCGTCAGGACAGGGCGGGGCCTTGGACCAGTCTTCGCGTTTTCCCCGCTGCGCCCCACCTCCCACCAGGCGCCACCCGGAAGGGAACAACCCGGAAACTAAGGGTGCGGTCTCCCTGAGGTCATCGGAAAGGTGACGCGCTTTTTCCTGCATTTCCTTTTCCAGGCTTGGCTCCAGGTGACTCAGTGGGAAGAAGCTAGAGCAGAAGAAACGCCGTAATTGCGTCGTCCACTAACGGCGGACTTATTCGAAAGGCGCCCTGAGCAGGGCAGCCCGCCCAGGTCCGGTCTGCGGTTTCCGCCGCCGGTGGCTGGTCCGGAGGACCTGCGTGGGCCGCGGAGTAAGTGAAACCTCCTCACCCAGCTGCGCCGCTGCTCCGGAGGGGAATTGTGTTTTTAATGACACATTTTTATTCATAATTATAACTAAATTAGATGCAATCTATACATTGTACTCTTGTGGATCTTACTATAATGAACAGCATTCAATACGAACCTTTGGGTTAGTGCTAGGTATTCTTTAAGAGAAATTCCTGCCAGTGTAACCTGTGGGTGTAACGATAAACTTTTTCAGGGTATTTGGTATACCAGGAAAAAATGGGGAAAAAAAGCAGGAGTTCTCTTCTGGACGGCGGGCCCCTTGTGGTCCAGCCTCCCCCACTAGGCGAGAGTCCCAGGAGCCCGGCTGCATCAGTGACCAGCTGGCGTTGTTGTGAGAGGCTGTGCTGGGCCTCAGTGAGTTTTTATTGACGACTGTTCCAGAGCATTGGCCCAGTTCACGACAGGCGATTTACCAGCCCACCTGCTCACCTGCACTAAGTGTTCGGCAGTTTTTGACCAAAAACCCACATGATCCACGCATCCTATTCACCCGATCTCAGCCAGAGCAACTAATTTTTCTTTCCCACATGAAAAAAAGTCCCCAAAGGGAAACATCCAACATGTAAGACATGACGGCAGAAGCACTAAGAGGCGTCAGAGTTGCCCAGTCTAGAGAGTGTTCAGGGCCATGGAGGGACGTCCCCACGGGTGTCCCCCATCCAGGGCAGAGCATTTGAGGGTGACTGAGGGTTGAAGGTGTGAGAATGAATACTCAGTGTTTATAAGTAAATTCTCTTTCTGGGTCAGCCCCGTGTACATGCAGCCAGATGCATCCACAGGTGTCCACAGTCACATGAAACAAAGGATGTAATTACCATTGTGAGTTATTGAAGTTTCAGTCTTCTATATTTTATATCTTAAAATGGTCTATGATAGGAATGAAAAACAATAAATATCCTCCAAAATACGTGGAAATGTGTTCCCCACTCTGGAAACTTTCAGACTTTACACCATTCAGATAAGTTAAAGCACAGGGTGAAAAGGCCCTGGGCTTCTGTCCTGGGTGACAGGGACCCCCTGGGAGGGGCTGAGCAGGAGGGAGGTGAGGGGGTGGGAGGCGCTGGCTGCTGTGCGGAGCTCGGCCTGCAGGGGGCAGCAGCGGGATCAGGAACTCAGAGCACAGGGCCTGCCTTCCTCAGAGGGTGGTCTGGGGGCAGGCACCTGGCTGGGGCAGGGAAGTGTGGGCAGGTGGGGGGCTTCTGAGCAGGTTGGCACAGGAGAGTCCGGTGCTCCCTGCTGGTGAGGAATAAGGTACGTTCATTACGGCTCCATGTTTCTTGGCTGACTTCCATGGTGGGATCCAAGGTGAAGAGACGCCCCAGGGGACATTTGCAGAGGAGGCTCTGGGGTCACCAGTGATGGTGGTGGTGACAGGGCCGGGCCTGGGGAGGCAGCCTCTCCATGTGGCATTCTCCTCCCCCTTCCAGGTGGTCACTGCTCCCCAGGCCCTGCCGGCCTCTCTCTGTGCACAGCAGGTCAGGATGGTGAGGTGCCTGGTCCCCCGTCTGCCTGCCCTCGCTGTCTGCCTCACCCTGGTCCAGCTGCTCCGCCCCTGCTCAGGTAGGACCTGCCCTGTGTCTGGGTGTCTGAATACCTTACCTTTGGGCCCAGCCAGAACCCGGACCCCTCCCACCCCTGCATGGCATGTCCTCACTGCACCTGTGTTAGGACTGAGTTCCCCTGTAGGTGTGTGTCACCTCGCCCTCCCTGCCTGGGACATGCCCTGGCCGTGCTCACTCTGACAGAGTCCCCCCCTTCTGACGACCAGCTGACTTTGCTGTGGTTGGACCCCCTGAGCCCATCCTGGCCATGGTGGGTGGAGACGCTGAGCTGCCCTGTCACCTGTCCCCGAAGAGGAGCGCTGAGAGCATGGAGCTGATGTGGGTTGGACCCAGCCACAGGCAGGTGGTGCTCACGTACGCACACGGGCAGGAGGACACGCCGGCAGAGGAGTATCGAGGGAGAACTTCGGTTTTAAGAGAGGACGTCACTGCGGGGACGGCTGCTCTGCGGATTCGCAACGTCACAGCCTCAGACAACGGGACCTACGTGTGTTACTTCCAAGATGGAGATTTCTATGCAAAGGCCCAGGTGGTGCTGCAGGTGGCAGGTGAGCCTCAGGTTTGTTCTGGGAGCTGCAGGTGGCAGGTGAGCCTCAGGTTTGTTCTGGGAGCTGCAGGTGGCAGGTGAGCCTCAGGTTTGCTCTGGGCACCTGTCTGTTCTCGGGGGCAGAGGCTGCAAAGCTGCCCTGGAGCAGGTGGGGCTGCTTACCAGCAACCCCCCCCACCTCCATCTCTGCTCCTCTGAGACCTATGACAGACCCAGGTGTCCCCTGGGGTGACTTCCTCCTGCATTCAGTACAGAGTCCCCCATGTCCCCCACCATTCTCAGCAGGGGAGAGGAGGTCAGGGACAGGGAGGATGAGGACACCTCCCCACAGTGGGTGGCACATGGGTGTTTGGGTTCAGTGCGACCCAGACAGTGGCCGAGGGTCCCCTGGGTGCTGGCTGCTGTGGGTGCAGGAGGCTGAGCTGCAGGGACAACACCTGTGGGGCCCACGTCCCCTGCTGAAGCCTCGGGAACACACATGCAGTTGAACAAGTGGTGTCCGTCCTCGGTGCAGCAGGGAAGAATGCTCTCCTGGGGACGGGGATGCCTGGGTGTCCCAGAGAGAGGGCGTCAGGGAGCACTCTGTGTGGTTTGGGGGGATGCGGAAGCAGCGCTGTGCACTGGTGACCACGCTGTCAGGATGGTGTGCCGGTGTCACTGGTCACTCTCAGCCGGCACAGGGAGGTTGGTCACTGCACACGGTTCCTGTTTTTCCTCTGTGCTGTCACCCGACTCTTGAGTGACCTTGACTTTGCCCTGACTCATCCCAGTGACCGAGCGCCTTGTCTGAGGTGCTCGTGTCCAGGCATCTGGGCTGCAGTTCGGGTTCCCTGGACACAGCCCTGCCCCGTGGCTTCCAGTGCAGGGGGCCTGGTAGCGCATGGACGGTGCGGGCCCCTGGCCTTGTCCCCACAGTCACCTCCTCAGCCTGCTGTCCCTTCCTGGAGACCATGGCTCCCCGACGGAGCCCTCCTTACAGGACTCGGTGTTTCAGGTCCTCACAGGGCTTTCTCCCCATCCTTGTGTTCAGGAGGTGGGGACAGGTGGCAGTGAGTCCCCTCTGTCTGGCCCTGGGTCCGCCGTGTTCTGTGTGAAAGTCCCCCCTGCACACACTTCCGGGGCGTCCCTGCAGGGGGAGCCCAGCAGCCTGGCAGTAGGTGCAGCCAGAGCCTCTCGAGGGGCCTTGCACACAGGTCACCGCTCGGGCGGCCACAGGACACCATGTGTCTCCTGCTCACGGGAGGGCAGGGCCCCCACAGGACAGGCAGGACAGACGGGGTCAGTGGGTGAGACCCCCTTGGGTAAGGGACACCACCTCCATGCTTGCCCAGGGTGGGGGAGGGGAAGCTGGGGCAGTCTGTAAGGGGACTCAGGGGGAGCAGCCTCCGCTCTGGCCCAGGTCCCCCTGGATCCAGTACGAGGGTCCAGCCATGGTCAGGCAGTGTCCCCATCAGGGGTCAGTCTGCTGCACAGCACAGGCTGGGAACAGCTTCTGGTGAGTCCCTGCTGGGCTGGTCAGTGTGGGTGCCCCTCCCTGCTGTGGAGACCCCACCAGTGTGGAGGGCTCCCCACAATTCAGCTCCTTCCCTCCCCAGCACTGGGCTCCGATCCCCACATTGAAATGAAGGGCTACGAGGCTGGAGGGATCCGTGTGAACTGCTGGTCTGCCGGCTGGTACCCGCAGCCCCAAGTAGAGTGGAGAGACGCCAGGGGACAGAGAATTTCCAATGAGGTGGTCACAGAGGCCACAGACCCCCAGGGCCTTTGTGCAGCCTCAGCCTCTGTAATCCTGGAAGAAGGCTCTCAGGAGGGGGTCTCCTGTGTCATCAGAAACCCCCTGCTGGGCCAGGAAAGGTCAGCGGGGCTTTCCATCCCAGGTGAGTGCCCTGCCCACTGCCCTGGGCTCCTGGGTGCCCCTGGGGAAGGCGCAGTGGTCTGCTGCTGGCCTGGGACACTGTAGGGCACACATGGCACAGGGACCTGGGGCTCCTTCCCCTGAAGCGGTTTATGTCACAGACCTGCTGACACTTCCTGTGTGTCACACGTGCCAGGCATGGGACTTGTTGACAAATGGTAAAGATCAGCAAACTCACTCCAGGAGCGGGAAAATATGTGCAACTGAAATCTTAATGAAAGAGCTCATCTTCTTACAATATAAAGGACACAGTAGATAAAAGAGCAAAAATGGGAATCATCAGTTGAGAGAGGTGAAACTCACAGGAAGATGCCAAATCTGAGGGAACAGAGAAGTATTTCCACCTGTGAAACTGGCAGCAGAAGCGAAAACGAGGTGGCGGGCGCCCCCTGGTGGTGGGCTGTGTGGAGACAGCCCCTCAGACCTTTGTTCGCACAGGTGGAGAGAGGACAGAGCATGCGCACAGGCTGCATAGGGGCTGATTTTGATGCAACAAGATAAAATATATTTAGTTTTCAAAACTTACTGAAACCGGTGTGGCAGTGACGCTGTGTCAGGCCTGTACTAGCATTAACTTAATGCTCTCAGTGATCCAACGCCAGCAAGAGGTGGTGACGTCATTAGTTCAGGGTCACAGCGCTGGTCAGGCAGGAGAACCAGAACTGGAACCCAGGCCCTGCAGCCCCAGAGTTCCGATCTTCATCACCAGGCTCTTCTGAGTGGGGGGCAGATGATCAGTGGGGGGGGGGGGTGCAGAGGCGACTTCAGTGACACTGTTGCCTCGTACCCGATCTGATCCCATGGGGGAGGCAGACGTTCCAGGAGAAACGTACTTACTGGGTGACACTAAGAGTTCTGGGCACTCTGGGGACAGGCAGGTCATTTCAGGGGCTGACACTACCCCTTCGCAGGTCCCTTCTTCAGGAACGCAGAGCCTCGGATGGCGTTTATCACCCCAATCCTGACTGGTATGGTGGTCCTGTTGGGAGTGTCGTGCTTGGTGTGCTTGGTGTGCTTGGTGTGGCGACGGCCGCAGGTGATCCGGGCCTTGTCCCAGGAGAAGCGGAGAGAGCAGGAGCTGCAGCGGGTGGAAAGCGCCCAAGGTGAGGCCCAGCTGCAGGCGGCCACCTCCTCCCTGCCCAGCCCACACCCACCACCCGGGTCCTCCTCTGTATCCGCTGACAGGACTGTATTTTCTGTTTATTTGCAGAGAAGCTGCAGGACGACCTCAGTAAGTGCCCATCCCCGTCCCTGGGCATCCTGGGGTCCCTGGTGACAAGGTCACTGACTCTGTACATTGTTCCCTGCAGGGTGGACAAACAGCGGATACTGACCACGTTAGTGCCCCGCACCCGCATCTCAGCCTCTGTTCTCGGTTAGTTTGGCCCCGCTCCTCACCCCTAATTGCCCAGGGGGAGGAATGGGGTCACTGATGGGGGCCCCGGGCAGTGGTCTCTCTCTCTGGGGAAGAGCCTGCAGCCTCTCTACACAAGGGGCTACTGGACCCAGACTCCTGAGGACCCCAGGGAACCCCATAAATAACCCCTGGCCTGGTGAGTCCCCGAGGGCTGCAGCGCTGCTGTCATGGGCAGGAGAGTGCGGGTCTCCTGCAGCTCTGGTAACGGTCCAGGTGCTGCTTACACTCTGGCCCTCTGACAGCTCAGGGGGACCCCCCACGTGACATCTGAAGGTGGGGCAGTCTCAGCCCAGCGAGGTTACAGACCTCGCCCTGCTGCCCCCACAGCTCCTCTGGTCCCACTGCACAGGAGGGGGCAGCCTCAGAGGACACGTCACCCCCGGGGCTCCCCACCCTTGGGCCCCCAGGCCCTTCTGCCAGGCTCACTGGTTCCAAGTGAACGAGCGTCGAGCCTGTCAGGAGCCCAGCCAGGTTACGTCCTACTGCGCTCTCCTGTCCCCGAGCCTGGTCCCTCCTGTGAGGGCAGCCTGGGCGCCCAGGGCCTCCCCCCACCCCGGGTCCTGGTCGCCAGCTGGACACTCATGACCCACAGCCCACGCCACACCTGCCTTCCAGGAACCAGGCCAAGTCTCCCTCCTTGCTTTTCCTTTTCAGCCACGAACAGGAGCTACTTCGAATTCGGGCAGGAAGTTCCCAAAAGTCACTGGAGGAGAGGCTGGACTGGAGGAGAGGTTGGCGGGACTGGAGGAGAACAACATTGTCATTTGTGAGCACGAGAACCCGGGGAACCTGCTGGAGCAGCACCACGGATGCTGCTGCGCTGGCAGAGCAGCTGGGGCGGGCAGAGACCCTCCTCCAGGCTCACGCGGCCCCTCTGTGAGATGCGGCTGCGGGAACGTCTGGGAAATATTATAAACAAGCCGGTTGTGGAGGATATCTCAGGGAGTGAGGACGCAGAGCCCGGAACTAGTCAGCAAGGGCTGTGAGACAAGTCAGTCCGTGAGAGACAAACCAGCAGCCACTCTGAGCTGTCACTGGGTCAGTGGGGCAGGGCATGGGGACAGTTACTGTCATGAGCCAGCTATAGAGGCCTTTGTCCAGTTCTGTAAGTGGTTAATTATATGTTTTTACTAACTTTCTTTACATACTGAGATTTTTATTTTTTTAAAGAATATTGTATTTAGGACTTCCGCCAAGATGGAGAAGTAGGTGGAGGATCCACCTCACCTCTGTGCACAACCAAATCTAAGAACAACTATTTTTAACAGCAGTCACAACCAAGCCACACGGAAAATCGACAATACGGAGTCCAAAGGACAACTAGATACTCGGCTGGACCGGTAGGAGGAGCGAGGCCAGCAGCGGAGCAGGTTAGCAAGAAAAAATTCCCGGGGCGGTGCGCGGTGCGTGCGCAAGCAGCCGAAGGCACTGATCGCCAGCGAGCTGGCTGCGGGAGCGCACAGGGAAGAGGCGCGGTGGGTCAGTCGGTCGCGCGCATTTACGTGCGGAGAAACCAGTGAGAAGGGAAACCCGCGCGGGGCAGCAGGCTCGCACAATTAGGATCGGATAAGCAAGCCCAAGGCGTTTGAGTGACTGGATGCGCTGGGCTAGCGGAGAGGAACGCCATTGCTCCCTCTCTGACCCCGCCCCCACACACAGCGTCACAAACCGGCGACCTGGGTCGCCCCGTCCTGGTAAACAACTAAGGCTTCGCTCCGCTCACTTAACAGCACGAATAGACCAAAAATGGCTCTAGGACAACTCAGAGCCCCAGAACCGATAGACCTAAGTGATGAAGAAATAGCCAGTCTTTCAGATGCACAGTTCAAAACACTGGTTATAAAGATCCTTACAGAACTGGTTGATTTTAGTCACAAATTAGAGAAACATATGGAAGCTAAATTAATTGAAATGAATGCTGATACAAAAGATACCAATAGTAATGGAAAGAAAATTGGGACTCAAATCAAGGGAGAGGACCAGACGGAAGAAAAAAATGATCAAACAGAAAGGAATGAAGAAATAAGAATTCAGAAAAATGAGGAGAAGCTTAGGAACCTCCAGGACATCTTTAAACGTTCCAACATCCGAATTATAGGGGTACCAGAAGGGGGAAAGGCACAACCACCAGTTGAAAAATTATTTGAACAAATAATAAAGGAGAATTTCCCCAAGATGGCAAAGGAAATAGACTTCCGAGAAATCCAGGAAGCTCAGAGAGTCCCAAAGAAGTTGGACCCAAGAAGGAACACACCAAGGCACATCATAATTACATTAGCCAAGATTAAAATGAAGGAGAGAATCCTAGAAGCAGCAAGAGCTAAGGGGACAGTCACCTACAAAGGAGTTCCCATCAGACTGTCAGCTGATTTCTCAAAAGAGACCTTACAGGCAAGAAGGGGCTGGACAGAGGTATCCCAAGTCATGAAAACCAAAGATCTACAACCAAGATTGCTTACCCAGCAAAACTTTCATTTAGAATGGAAGGACAGATAAAGTGCTTCTCAGATAAGACCAAATTCAAGGAGTTCATCATCACCAAGCCCTTACTATATGAAATGTTAAAGGGACTTACCTAAGAAAAAGAAGATAAAAAAAGATGAACAGTGAAAGGACAGCAAACTCACAGTTATTAAGAACCACACCTAAAACAAAAGCAAACTAAGAGGATAGCTAGATCAGGAGCAGAACCATAGAAATGAAGATCTCATGGAGGGTTAGCAACAGGGGGAGTGGGAGGAGGGGAAGGGGGGAGAAGGTACAGAAAATAAGTAGCATAGACAGTAGATAGAAAATAGATAGGGGGGAGGGTAAGAATAGAAAGGGAAATACAGAATCTAAAGAATTTGAGACACATGTTCATGAACTAAAGGGGGAAATGGTGGGGGAGGGGTATGCAGGGTGGAGGGGAAGGGAGGGGGGAATAGAGCAAATGTAATGGCATAATCAATAAAAAAAGAAAAAAAAAGAATATTGTATTTATTTTTAGAGAGAGTAGAAGGGAGAAAGGAGAGAAACATCAGTGTGTGGTGTTTCTTGTGCGCCCCCTACTGGGGACCAGGCCCTCAACTCAGGCATGTGCCCCGACTGGGAATCGAACCAGCAACCCTTTGGCTTACAGGTCCACACTCAATCCAATGAGCCACACCAGCCAGGGCTGATTTTGTATCTTAAATAGTGTTTTCAACATGTTTTATAGTTTTTTTACCCAGTAAGATTTATGTCCTAAATCGTGTTTTCTGTCATTCCTGTTGGGTGAACAACTTTGGGTGTGTTGTCCTTGGGAGGTGACATCCTGCACAGAGTCATGGGAACCTTGGGTGTGTTTTGTGGGTGCAGGGCCCTGAATCAGGGACCAGAGCCTGGAGTGTCCCCTTGTGTGTTTTCTGGTGTCCCCGGGGCCTCTGTCCCTGGGAATGACAGCACCGTCTGTCCAGCGCTCCCCTGAGAACGCGCCCACCCTGCCCCTTCTCACTCACCCCAAACAGCACCAGTCCTTGGAGATGCTCCCACACGGCCCCGCACTCCCGTGGGGCCGAGCACCCTCAGTCCCCACATAGTCCCTCAGTGACGTCACTGCCACTCCAGCCAGCCTCTCCCACCCAGGACCGTGGGCGTCATCCCCACAGGCATCTCCCTGGGCCCCCTCACCCCAGGGTGTGGTGGTCCCACGGCCCTCCCCAGACCTGTGTGCCCGGGCCCCCTAGGCCCTGCCTCCGTTCACGCTGCTGCCCGTCACTGACTCAGCTCTGTCCACTCCGGCTCCCTTCCTGCCTCCGCGAGTCCAGTCTCCTCCACTAGCACTGGACTGGGGGTGGGTCTCGAGGGACCAGTCTCCAGACGGGGACAGGTCTCTCAGGGACAGGCCAGCATGAGGGGTACTTGGGCTTCCCAGGAACTGGGCATCATCGGGGGTGGGGAGAGGTGGCCGGATGTTGACACTTAGGAAAGTGGGGCTGTGGAATCGGCGGGGTGGGGGAGGGGATGCGGGTCACATGAAAGGACTGGGGCGTTATCACAACGTTCCTCGAGTCTGGCAAACTGCCACCTTTGGGTCCACCTGGCCCGGGTGTCATAACCCCTTTATTGGCCCGGAGGTTCGGTGAGCAACCCTGGCAGCCCTGCTCACGTGGTCACTGGCGTCACTCGGGTGGACTGGGGTGTCTACAGACTGGTGCCCAGGCACCCGTGGATCCCTGACAGTCTAAGTGGACTCCCCTCAGGACAGACGCTGCGTGGGGGTGTGTCCCCTTGGCTGGCGGAAATGAGAGGCCAGCTCTTCTGAGACACCCCAGCCCCCAGCGCCCGCAGTTCAGGCTGTGCCAGGTCCTTGGCCCCCGTGGTCCCCTGATCCCGAGGGCGAGCTGGGCTTCCAGGTGGGGGCTCAGTGACAAGGGAGGCACCCAGGTGACAGGCCATGGAGCCACTCCAGCCCCCACTGTCAGGGCGCCCTGCAGGCGACTGACAGGTGCCTGGATGCCAGCGCCATCCCCACGCACAGCCGGGGTTCACAGGCGGACTGGGGAGCAGGCAGGCTGGGCTGGGTCCCAGCAGCAGTGGGTCCACACTGTCACCAACAGATGGTGTCTCCGTGGGGCGCTTCCCCAGCAGACTTTTGGGGAGCACTGTGTGCTGTGATCACAGACCCCATGAGGGTCCTGGGGTCACAGGAAGCCCCCAGCCCTCACCCCAGAACCAGCCCTGGTCCCACTGGGAGGACAGTTGATCTGTTTCCCCCCAGATGGATGACCATGGCCTTGTGTGTAGGCCTGGGAACTGGAGGAGAGGGGTCCATCCTGCTTCTAACAAAGGTTCGGGAGGCGGCTGGTCCTGCCTCACTGTTGCCGGCTGAGAGCTCGCTGTTCAGTGCAGGGCGTTCTGACGTCCTGGGCAGGTTCACTCACACCTGGGGGCGCGAGTCACTCACCAAGGACCTCGTGTGGGTGCTCAGAGCCCCTACAGCACTGCACAGCACAGCATGGTGGCATGTGTCCAGGATTGTGAGACACCAGCCCCATGCTTCCTCCACCCCCGGGCCCCCCAACTTCTTTCTGGAGAGCTTGGGGCTTATTCTCGGACCCCAAACTCCAGATCACAAAGTGAGAAACGCTGGAGACTCCTCCAGGTCCGACAGTGTGTAGGACCCGAAAGCCCGTCCAGCCTGTCCCTTTGCTCTCCTGTGACCGAACACACTCTCGGAGGGGCAGACATGCAAGTCCTGGACCCCCAGACCCCGTCGTTCCCCTGGTATGATTGAGCAACTGGTCCTCCACCTGGGTGACCGAGGACACTGGTGTGGTCACCCAGGATTGTGCGCACACACACGGCCAGCAGCCGGGAGGACAGAACGAACGTTTCTGTAAGATCCAATGACCTGACGGTACCTGTTCCCAGGAGGTGACATCAGGACCCCTCCAGCAAAGCAAAGGAGGGACCCAGACAGGGGGATGCGGTGGGTGGCGCACAGGATGGGGGGAGCAGAGGCCCTGCCTGGGCTGCTGGGTGCAGACTTGAGCGGGTGCCTCAGCTGGGGACCCAGGGAGGGACACAAGCGCCAGGACTATAAGGAACAGGAGGCTGAGGGGGAGCTCGGGACCCTGAGGCTGGAGGACGGTGGGTTGTGTGGGGAAGCACGGACCGGCGTCCGCAGACGGTAGGAATGAGCCCTGGCTGGTGTGGCTGAGGGCACTGAGGGCCACCTGTCGACCAAAAGATCGCTGGTTCGATTCCCTGTCAGGGCGCAGGCCTGGGTCACAGGCCAGGTCGCCAG